CCCTTGATCCAGACTCTACAGGATGAGGTCGTGTTAGATCATTATGCATATCGGCCCGATCCGCGATCGCTTCACGTAGGCATTGGTTCACTTGTTCTCTGGCTTGCTGATAGTATTTTTGCATCCGATATCGCCACCTTCTTGGATCTCGATCGTGCTTGTGAGTGCTTCCCACCGGGATCAGTGGATCTAGGATCCCAGCCATGTATCATATAGAAAGGTGTTTCGCCTCGGATCCGATCCCTTGCGGTATTGATCGCGAAGGTGAGTCGCTCAGCATACTCATCCCAATCTCGTTGATCCAGATCTTCCACATAAATTTTGAGAGCCCTGGTAGTTGTCTGCACCATACGTTCCGCAGACCCATTGGCTTGGGGTCTATACGCCATAGTGGCCCGTTGGCGTTGTCCCAGGATTCTGTTAAACGACTTGAAGAAATCAGACATAAAGCCTGGCTCTCGATCATGTCGGATCACCTCGCTCGCGCCGAATCGACGGAAAACACACTCTTCGTAAGCCTCGGCGATTGTTTGAGCGGATCTAGAGGCACTGGCTTTGGCGATCACATATCCTGAGAATAGATCCACGAAGATCAACAACTCAGTGTTGCCGTTGAAGGATCTAGGCAGTGAAGGTATATGATCCACGGCAATGATCTGAAATGGGTATGTTGCCTGAAGATTACCAGGTGACTCGCCCTGGATCCGAGGCCTTCCTTTGCCTGTTTCGCAGTCGACACATTCTCCCACGTATCGCTGTACGCTCTTATACAAACCTCTCCAGTGGAAATGATCACGGGTCCGATCATAGGTACGACCGACCCCTTGATGACCACCTTGCAGACTCGTATGCTAGTGATGCAAAATGTCCTGTTGAAGAGTCTCAGGTATCACTAGTCGCATCAGCTTATCTCGATCTGCGGCGGTTTCCTTAGTCGTCGGGCAGTAGAAGAGTAGATCCAGCTGATCCGCTTCATAATTCATAGCAATAGATCCAAACATCTTAGCCTCTTCTTGTGTCAGATCCCGGATCTCCCCGACCAAATACTTCTTCAAGCCCATGATCCACGACTCCTCGTCCTGCACTTGACGGATTCGTTCGATCCGCAGCTCTCTCACGACCTCCTCTCGTAGGGAATTTGAATCAGATCCTGCACGCACTCCCAATCTAGCCTTAGATCGGGTCATCACAGCTGATACCTGTGCGATTTCTTCTTCAACTTTCACCATCAGGATCTCATCCAACCGATTTAACGTTATGAGATCCTGGATCTCCGCGTCCGACTCTATCTCGATCCCACATTGCCGTTGCAGAGCAGCACTTGCTAGGCTGTCAGCACTCCCATTCCAATCCCGTTTGACGTGCAATAGTTCGTGATCTGGCCACGTACGTAGTCGATCCAAGGCTCGCTGACGTAACAGTGTTAGACCAGGCGCCTTGCAATCGATCTCTCCTCGTACTTGTCGGATCACCAGGTGTCTCCACAGATCACCAGACGCTGTGGATCCAGATCTTCCAGCAGAGCCAGACATAGTAGCAGACCATGGTATTCCGCTTCATTCACAGTCAAGCCTTCGGCATACCCCGATCTAGCTTTCAACACTCTCCATTCGGGTAGCTTCCACAAGATCGCGCTGTAGGCGCCCCCACCTCTCTTGACACGGGCCGATCCATCGAAACTAACGACATATAGCTCTGATAGTGGGGATCGGAGCTTGGATCTTCCGTCTTGGCTCCTTTTTGGGAGCGATTGAGATCAACGCCTTATCCAC